ACACTATACAAACACATTCTTTAGTATTGCTAGACCTTCAATATCCAGTGCAAATAATGAGATGTCCAGGTGTTGTCAGTTGTCATAGTAAGCACATTGCGTGGCTTCTGGCAGGCACATAGTGAACACTGTGTACTGTACACTCCCAGCACCCAGAGGGTATCTGTCTGTCATTTTTGAATAATGTGATGTTACCAGTAAGCTGTGAGCAAAACAAACCGGGCTGCTTGCATTCTAGTTAGCTTAAATGCAAAAATTCACAGGAAAACAATACAGAAAGGTGGAAACATTTATACACGAATAACATTTAACAAGAGGGCAGCACTTAGTGCTTCCGCCTGGCAGTACTAGGGTCATTACTTCAAATCCCAACCACAGCACCACCTGCCTGGAGTTTGCATGTTCTCCCCCTGTGCCTGCGTGGGTTTCCTCCGGTACTCTGGTTTTCTCCTACACTTCAAAGACATGTTGGTAGGTTAATTGAATCCTGTCTAAAATGGCCCTAGTATGTGTATGTATGAATGTGGGTTAGGGACCTTAGATTGTATGCTCCTTCAGGGTTAGGGACTGATGTGAATGCACAATATATATGTAAAGTGCTGTGTAAATTGATGGTGCTATATAAGTACCTGTAATAAATAAAAAATAAAAATAAGAGAAATACAGAGGCTACCATTGCTGAACCTCCATTGGAAGTTGTTACTTACCAGACAGTCATGCAGGTCATCCTTTACCAGGGGCGGACTGACAACTCATGGGGCCCCCAGGCAATAGGGGATCATGGGGCCCCTGTGTCCTTGCCCACACACTTAAAAAAGCCTATGAAAAAGGTACCAGGGGCATCTCATGGGGCCCCCTATTGACCCCGGGCCCTTGGGCAGTGCCCGAGTTTCCAAATGGTCAGTCGCCCCTGTCCTTTACATTACAGGTCTGAAACAGGCATGCAACTAAAGTCAGAAGTCCTGATCTGCAGTCTTGTTCAGGGTCAACAACTTGATATTTATTGCCATTAAAGGTTTTTTTTTTACATTTTGGATAGGGTTGGGAAGGAATATGACACAAGTCAGGTTATTACTGTGACTGTGATAGGGAGATTCATCCTTTCCATTAGTCTTGGTGAAGACAGTCAACAGGCCAGATAGTGATGGGAAAGGCAAAATTGTACAGCTGTCATTGGAACAGGAGGAAAGGGATAATTTTCCAATGGGGACAGTGTGAAAGCACAGTAAAACATGATGAAAGTATGCTACAGTCTGCCAACAGAGTGCTAAAAGGGACAGCTAGAATTCCCACCATCACCTGTCTTTAGCTTTCATTCCATGCATAAAGCTAAAGGTTTAAAGAAAGCTGATTGAACCTTACCAAAACATTTACAAGTTGAAGCCAGTGGCCTAACGGGTATGATGTGTCTTAAAACAATATGCAACTGGACCATTTACAGCAACACTAACAATACCCTTAGTCTCCAAAAATAATCCATACACATCCACTACATGATGGTCCTGTAATCTCGCTTTCATTAATTTTTTTTTTTCTAACTACTGTATGTTTTCCTGTCTCCTTGTAAGGTCCTCCATGAGCTCCTGAACCTCTAATGGTTGAAGAATATGTCTCTACAGAATACTGATGGATGTAAGCCGTATGCATATACACAGCCACTCGGCAGGTGGGCCTTAATGCAAAGTGGCCGCATATATGCGGCCCTGTTAAAACAATTTACGATGCTGAGAGTGCACTCTTGCATACCTGTGAACTGGAGCTTTCCAATCATGTGACCACTGTGACAGCCAATCACAGCGGTCACATGACCTAAATGCCCGCCTCCACCATCCAACTTTTTGAACTTTTAAAGGGCTGTGAGGCGGTCAGTGTGCAGAGGTTAAAAAAGATTACTTCAAAATATATATATATTTTTTTTAAAGTTTGGTATCACTTTAATTACCTTTTCTTTGTACCTATATACAGGCCTTGTTACACTTAGATGTTAAAGTCTGAATCCTATTAAAATTAATATTTCAGTTTTTAGTAGATGCTGGTGCGTTAACTTGACACTAAACTCCGGTTTAAAAAAAAATTCTATTCAGGTATATACAGTATTCTTAACTCAATACTGAGGGTGGCTATGTTTATGCTCCATGGTCTCACTGTCTGTAGGAATATAGTCACCCTCTCTTGCTCTCTCCCGAATTGACAAAGACTATGGAATGTGTAGTGGGCATAGAGTAGTGCACACGGCTAATATATACTGCTTGTATCAAATAAATGAAAGTGAGGAGGAACATATGATACAGGAACTCACAGAGGATGTTAAAAGGTGGCAGAAAAACACAGTAAGAAATTAATTCATGAGAAGAGATTACATGGTAATTAAAACAGAAGTGCGGGCTTTCAAAAAAAACAAACACACATACCTACCTAGGTGGATGCAGCATTGGTCCGATGCTGCATCTTCCCCCAACCACATGTAAGACTGAGTATCGAGCAATCAAAGACTGCTGATAGCTCGGCTCTTGATGAGCTTGGTTCTTCAGTGAACAGAGAGTTGGTGACCGTCAGTCACCAGCTCTCTGAAAGGCTAAGGCAAGCCATACATTATATAAATTTCCTTTAGGTTTACTATAACCATAGAATATGAGGTCAAACCTTGACACTTTCAATTTATATGCAACCAGGCAGGCCCTTGCACTACAAAGTTAAAGGTAAATCCAAAGGAAATGTAATAATGAAGAAAACAGAAAACTGTATAATGTATGGCCAGCTTAAAGTGTTATTAAACCCAGGACTCTGCATTCACTATATCCGGTCTCGCACAGTACACACAACATGGAAGTGCAATTATTTTAGTAAATATAAACTGCTAAATACCTTTTCTCATCAGCAGTTAAAGCAGTCTTGTTACTTCTATCAGTGTCCAGCTGAGCACTGGTTAAAGCTTGTAGGAGGAGTTTTCATTCTCTTCTCACTGCCCTATGCGATTGCATAACCCCTGGTCCTCTGTCTGGACAGCGCTGATTTGCTCTGTGCTGATCACATGCACCCTCCCAAGAAAAAGAAAAAACTCTCTAGCAGTACACACCAAACTGAACATTTGGTGTGTTCTATCAGGAGATCAAATGGGGAACGTGGAAGAAGCGGAGGATCAGAGAAGACAGGATCAAACATCCTTTTTACACAATGCAGAGGATTAACCCCTTAAGTTCAACAGTGAGTATAGCAAGTATTCTTTACTGCATATACAGACTAATTTTACTGTTGTGGGTTTAGGAACACTTTAAGCCAGGGCACCTGGCATGGTCAGGCATCTGGGCAGATCCCAATATCATTGTTAGCATCCCTGCAAAGCCTGAATCAGCTCTGTGAAAGTCAGCCAACAGTGGACTTTAGCCTGCGATCGGCTAAATCTGGGTCACAGGAGTGCAGAACTAAGGGCACTCCTGTGACCCACAGGAGACGTATGGCCAAAATAGCTTTGGACATGCTTCTTTAAGTAAGGGATATGTATGGATTATTTTTGGGGAATAAGGATATTGTTTTCACTTTCTTGCAGTTGTGTTATCAAGTCTTTAAACCTACCATAGCCATTATACGGGGTCCCACTTTCCCTGTTTTTTTCTTTTATTTTATATTATGGAGAAAGCATCATACATTTCTGGAACACCAAACATACTAGCACTTTCAAGTGGACTGACCATTAAAGGAGCAAATGTTTAAGCCTGGATTTATAACTGTATCATATTAGGTTATCTTAAAGTACCATATTTGCATACTGCCCATACATATTTGAATGTTGAATATTATTTTAGTATTGATAAAGTTTACATACACAAAAGAATAAACCAAAGTAATCCCATGATCACTTAGGATAACCTTTAACTCTAGGTTATTCTGAACTGGATATAAATTAGGGTAGCCACAGCAACCATTTAGATTGCAACTATCAGTTTTCTTCTGTAATTCCAAAAATGACAACTCAAATCTAATTGGTTGGCAAGGTCAATATCTTTAAATGAAACACAATACTCATACCACGTACTACATCATAAGTCACCAACATTCACCGTCTACTGTCCATAAAAGACATGAGGTATGAATAAAAACCGCATGGTGAAAGTTTATTGAGAAAATATGGCAAGAGTTTAAGGCACTTCAAACACTTAAACATAGAAATCAAAAAGAAAATAAGACAAGCTATTATATAAATAAGAAGAAAGGTGAACAGCTTATTTTTCCATCGAGAGACATACATAGCGAGTAACCTAAAGTTTGATTTTTATGAACATAAAGATATTAACACATAGAACTAGACATATTTAAAAATATATATATTTATATATTCAGCAAATATGCTTAAGGCATATACATTTTCTTTTTTTTTTTCTTTTTTACAGATTAAAAAATATGCAGCAAATACTGAATTTCTCAACATTTGTAGATACATTTTTTTTCCTTTAATATAAAAGTTACGTAATACATACAGCCCAGCGGACAACATTTCTTAGTCCATTCAGATCTACTGAGGGCTCTCCTACACAGTACAGCTAAAACCAGGATACCAGCAGCCCAGCTGGATATGAATACGTTGTTTTAAACCAATAATCAGTACGGAATGAAGACCGAGGAGCAAAGTAATGCACCACATATAAATATTAAACCGGTAACAATAAAAGAGGCACTATGGCACTTCCTAACACTGGAAAAAGTGGGAACAGTTCATAGCATCTTTATGACTAGACTTCGCAAGTGCTAGTCCGTGGATTTTGTATGTAGTCCAGTATCTTTCTATAATAAAATCCTTGTTTCATAATTCCACGGGTGTCCAATGGCAGGACCGAGCCTGTTCTAAATATACAGCTTTGTTCCAGTTATCAGACTTCCCTGTGATATCTACATAGATATTGCTTTAGTCTGCTGGTGCATTCAGGCACAAAAATAGGTACATTCAGCATCTGTCAGTTAGACACAGTTACAGGTAGCAGCAGGTCAGAGATGGCAACCAAATATTAATTGTCAAATGGTCCTCTTTGTGTTGGACTGGGTGGAAGTTTCTTGCCTAGTCTGGGGGTGCCCTTTAAAAAAACAAAATGAAAATAAAATTAAAAGGAAAAAAACACTCAGAAAACATTCTTGTGAAAAATATAGCAATGTTTATCAAGGTTTTTCTAGTAGCAGAGCCACCATTGATATGTTTTCCAGTCTACAGATGTGCATGGATGGTCAGATGGGTCTGTGAGGCATTGCCTACCCGTCACTCTGCAGTTAGAGGACAAAACCTATAGTAAAGGCAGTACCTTTACCCCCACTTCTTGAAATCATGCCTACTCCAGACACCAAAAGCACTTGTTTCTAAATAAGACGTCTAATGCAGTACTAGATCAGCTTAGTCCTGAGCTAAAAAAAAACAATGCAGACCCTACCTGACCAACTGAACAGATGACAATTCTCAAAACAATGGGGGGCTCTAAGGGCACCCATGCACACTAAGATTTTTTCTTTTAGTAATTTAGCAGTCTTTTGAATGGTAAGAAGAACAAACAGTTATTTAGTGGATATTATCACTTTTTTCAGCATATCTCTTTATACTGTATTTAAGGTCATGAATGTTTGCATTTAGAGGATAAAAACTATAGTAAATGAAACTAGGAAACACTTTCATCTTTTACAGAGTTATGGCACTTTTACACTGGTGCATTTAAAAGACACATTGCATTTTCAACATGCTTTTAACAGGTCTATAATACATTTTTGGTGCGCTTTCTGGTTTTCGGACTCCAGCATGCACCATTGAAACATGGACACGTGACAAAAAAAAAGCACCAAAAATGCAGGTGCAGTGAGCTTTCATGCACTCCCATTGACATATAGTGGAAGATGCGTTATTGGTGCGCCTTTGAAAAGCGCAGCAAAGATGCAGTACGCAGGACTTTTCAAGCGCAGTGTAAATGCAGCACAGCAATGTGAACAGTTACATGGGATTTAAGAGGGGAATCATTTTCATGTGTTTTTGTTGCGCTGGAAAAGTGTGTTTTAGCATGGCAAAAGCGCACAAGTGTGAAAGGGGCCTTATACTAATAAATCCACTTACCGTATATACTCGAGTATAAGCCGAGTTTTTCAGCACATTTTTTGTGCTGAAAAACGGCCCCCTCGGCTTATACTCGAGTTAACGTCTGCAGATGGCTCCCCCCCTTCCAACAGAAGGGAAACTACGGTAAGTACAGGGGTGGGCAGGGGGCTGCTGTCTCTTACCTGGCTCCGGTCCCACGACGATCCGGTCCAGGAAGCGCGGCTGCTCCTTCATTCGGTTCGTCCAATGGATGTTCGCGCGGCTGCTCGGCTCCGCCTTCTCACCGGTGATTGGCCGCCAGAACTGTAGCTCAGGAAAGGCACACAGGCGGCCAATCACCGGTGAGGAGGCGGAGCTGAGCGGCCCCGCGAAAATCGAGTGAAGGAGATGCAGGTAAGTGTGCCGTGCTTAGGTGCTGCGGCAACCACATATGCTGGCTGCAGCAGCACCATAATGGAACAGGGGTCAGCAAGTGTCAGTGGGAGGAATAGTGCCCCATCATTGGTGTCACTGGTACCAATGATGGGGCATTATTCTTCCCACTGACACCAACGATGGGGCACTTTTCCTCCCCCCCACTGACACCAACGATTGGGCACTACTCCTCCCCCCCCCCCACTGACACCAATGATGGGGCACTATTCCACCCCCCACTGACACCAATCATGGAGCACTATTCCACCCCCCACTGACACCAATCATGGGATACTATTCCTCCCACCCACTGACACCAACGATGGGGCACTTTTCCTCCCCCCCACTGACACCAACGATGGGGCACTATTCCTCCACCCCTCCACTGACACCAATGATGGGATACTATTCCTCCCACTGACACCAATGTTGGGACACTATTCTTCCCACTGACACCAAAGATGGGGCACTATTCCACTGACACCAATAATGGGGTGCTATTCCCCCCACTGATACCAATGATGGGGCACTATTCCTCCCACTGACACCAATGATGGGGCGCTATTCCTCCCACTGACACCAATGATGGGGCACTATTCCTCCCACTGACACCAATGATGGGGCACTATTCCTCCCACTGATACCAATGATGGGGCACTATTCCTCCCACTGATACCAATGATGGGGCACTATTCCTCCCACTGATACCAATGATGGGGCACTATTCCTCCCACTGACACCAATGATGGGGCACTATTTTAGTTTTTCCCAGTTTTTTGTGGTAAAATTAGGTACTTCGGCTTATATTCGGGTCGGCTTATACTCGAGTATATACAGTAACTTTTTTTTAAATTATGAACAATATTGATAAAATCAGTTAACAATTCCAGCATCTGACAAACAAAATGTAAGAGAAAGTCACAATATTGATTTAAAAATGCAGACACTAAGAGGAATTACTGTATGTTATAAAGTATAGACGATTAAAAGGACGGAGAATTTATATATTTAAATATACACACAGAAACACACATTCTGTATCTACTGTATATTTTTTTATATATATATATATATATATATATATATATATATATATAATGTTATACTTACTGGTGATGGTGTTTTAGAGAAATTGACATGGGCATAAAGAAGGACAGCTATATCTTTATGACCGGCATCCAAGGCAATCGACATAGCTGAGCTACTATCCTAAGAAAAAAATAAATCAAATACTCATTTGAATAAATAATATAAAAGAAAAATAACAATGTTGCCTGGAGCAAATAACCATTTTAGTATGAGGACCTGACTAAACAATGCATTCAATTTTTATTCAGTTATGTTGGCCCTTGCAATACATCACCGTTAATTTGTTTTCCCAATCTAAGAGATCAAATTAAAGTGGTTCTAAAGGCTTAAGGTTTTTTTTTTACCTTAATGCATTCTCTGCATTAAGGTAAAAAACCTTCTGTGAACAGGATCCCCAGCTTCCCCTAAATACTTACTAGAACCTGAACAGTGCCTCTCTCTCTCCTCACTGGACATGGAGGCAGCAGCGGAAGCCACTGCCTCCTGCTACTGTCAATCAAATCCTGTAAACAGCAGGGCGTGGCTGAGCAGCACTGTCTGTGTCTATGGATGCAAGCAATGTGGCTTGTGATTAAGTCAGCACAAGTGATCCCACAGGAAGAGAATTCCTATCGGAGCACTTGATGAACAGAAGGAGCCAGGAGTGCTGGTGGGGTCCCCAGAAGAGGAGGTTTGGGGCTGCTCTGTGCAAAACTATTCCACAGAGAAGGTAAGTATAACAAGTTTATTATTAAAAAAAAAAAAAGGGTTTAGAATCACTATAAGCAAAATAGGACTATGTGTGGCCAGCTTTAAGCCAGTCATAGACAGTTTGAATCTCGGCCAGTTCAGTAGGAACCATCCGAGATTCGAAGCATGTATGAGCAGGCTGAATGTACCCATGATTTTGCATGTGATTATTGCTAGCGACTGTTTAGCCAACTTCACCCTCCAGGAGAACACAATGGCTCAGTGGAAGGGATTCCTTTATCAACACTGACTCTGTGGATGGAGGAATCAAGTGATTTTCTTTCCTGCAACACTTTCTATGGCAGGCCTTACTACCGATGCTAAAACGTGAGCCCTGTGAAAGACAAATGTTATTTCACCTCTTACCGCCCACATTCCATAAACTAAAGGCTAAACCCAAACCCTAAACCACCACCCCCACCTACTTACAGGATTGTAGGTTCCTTCTCTCTGGTGGCTCTGTCACCTTTTAAATTATGCACAATCTTGTCATTCATTCACAGGTATCTGTGAATAAACAAACTACAAGATTATTTTAAAAGATTGACTTGTTACCAATGAACCACATGATTACCACACTTGTAGGCCATTGACACTTCCTCCAGCTGTTTAAAGGAAAGTCTGAACCTCGGTACTAAGCCAGAGGAATAGTTTGAAGGAGCCTGTGAATTGCACCCATGATCCACAGATTATGGTTGCAATGCTCTGCAGGATCATATGTGAAAAAATAATAAATGTGCATTTTATTTCTGCAAATGTGGATGCATTTATAATTTTTTTTGCAAAACGTGGACTTAGCATTTAACATTTCCCAGCATGATGTTCTATGCTACATCTGCCCTTATGCAAGATGGCCACAAACAAAAATGCTAGGGGATGTTTTTCAAAGAGTTTTCTCAGCAAAATAAATCATGGAGACATGGATGGATGGGCGAGTTTGCTTTGAATATTAAAAATGAATTTAATAGTGTTTTTGCTATGTGGTGCAGTGTAATTCTACTTGAAGTTACTTAAAACGTTGCGTAACACTTTTTGCTTCTATGTTGTATAGGCATATGGATCCGGGTTTTATAGTTAGCGATCCTTAGTTAAGGGTAATAAATGTCAGCTTGTTTTGGGGGGAAAATAGTGGGAAATAACTTACATTGTCTTCTAAGGCAGCATTGCAGCCAGGCTGGCCAAGCAGCAGTTTTACTATTTCTACGTGTCCATGTTCACTTGCACACATCAGTGCAGTGGAGCCTTCATCATCCTGAATGTTCACATCTGCTCCACAGGCAAGGAGAGCTTTGACCATGTCTATTCTGCCGTGACTCACTGCAAGCATCAAAGCTGTCTGGCCTGCCTGAAAATACAAAACAGAAAATAAGAGCATCTATTTCAGCAAAGGCCCAGAATTTAATAAAGAACACAGCAACATATGTGAATGGTTTATTTAAGGAGCAATGTAAAAAATAGGAATAATATGTGAGGCAACATATTTCTTTTAGGTGAACTAAATAGAAGTAGCCATTCAATATAATGTATAAAACAGCAGTGAAAATAATCAATTACCCAAGGCAACATGTAAAAGCTGGACAAAAAAGTCAAATAGCCTAATCTGTTTATAAGCTGAAGTAAATGTATGAACTGTTTGGCCACAGGGCATCCTCACTGATGACATTCAAAATAATGAAAGAGACTTTCTCCATGTAGGTAGTGTAGGAGAAGTGACACCTTGGGGTTGATTTATTAAAACTGAAGAGTGCAAAATCTGGTGCAGCTCTGCATAGAAACCAATCCGCTTCCAGATTTTGTTGTCAAAGCTTAATTAAACAAGCTGAAGTTAGAAGATGATTGTCTACTATGCACAGCTGCACCTGATTTTGAACTCTCCAATTTCAGCAAATCAACCCCCTTGTACCTTGTAATGCTCCTTTTTATAAAGTATAGGGCTACCCAAAAACACAAGACTGCATTGTTGAATCGTTTGCTCAACACAGGTTGTAGTAAGATTCGTACAAGGATCATCTGCTTTTTCTACAGGAAAGACCATTTTGCCATCACTTTATTCTGACATATATGTATATGGCCTGTAACTCCTCCCTATAGGATCGGGGTGCTTACCATGAATAAATGACATGACATGTTTTCTGAGGATTCCAAGATGTACAGCAAAACACAGTTGCCAATATAAGCATGTCCACTTTATTATGTTAAATTATTCTATAAAACTTTTAAAATCATACATAATGTAAAAACCTCAATGGTCTAACAATATTCTGTCCATGAATTTATAGAGCTTTAGGCTGTCATTATAAGAACTGAAAACAAGGATCTTACCTGACTGGCTTTGGCATTAACATCTCCGCAGCTGAAAAGTTCCTCTACCACACGCATATCCTTGGCTGCTTCTACAGCTGCCAAAGCTGCGAGCATGATGGGAGTGTAGCCAGCCTTGTTCTGGTGATCTACATTACAAACATCTGCAAAGAAAGAGACTATTCAGTTATGGCATTAGACCATTGGAAATAGAAGTAGAACACGAAATATAAAAACATCAGGACAGTTGGTCCATTATACATACGAACTTGTTATTCTCAAGTTCAAATCAACACTGCAATCACATTTTTAAAACCACTTAGGAAAAACAACTGGATTTTGGTTTTTACAGCATTCATTAGCTTTATTGAGAGTTCTATTAATTCACTCTAACTGTGTATTTTGTTTCCCTTGGCAACCTTGGTGGTTTCATAGTTTTATCTGCATAGAACAAAGCCAAAAATATGTCTTCCAGTCTGTGAACATTCACTTCCAGTAAAGACCATGGGGAAAGCCATTTATGGAGATGTACTTTCTGCTAATCAGTCTTCTATTTTAGACCATGAATGAGTGTCTGCAAGTGACCAAACACTTGTAGATCCATACTTTCATATTTCAATGAAAAGAATATATCCAACTATTACTTAAAGTGAACCTCTTGCAGCGTCCCCTATTTAATTGCCGATTTGTGAGGTTAATAGGTTTCACCTGCACAAGTGTCTTTGTGCAAGTTCCATGACCCAAACTCTCCCAAGCAAACAGAAAAAGTCTTGCAGTTGAGAAGTTTAGTTTATTTTTTTAGTCCTGCATCAGTCATTATACTTTCCTTCTAGAATGAGCCATTGAGTTGAAAAGCATTCAGACACTGCAGGTATTATTTGATTTGTGTCACAAATCAAACACTACATTATGCACTGCATTATGCGAATGGGGCCAAAAAGTCCAATTTAGTATTCCAACTGTGCCGATATAGCGGTGCCTCAGTGAGTCCTATTACATGCATGCCACTATAACAATGTAGGCAGGGGCCCAGCATTCTATATCTGCATCATGCAGTATAGGACTTCTTTAGTTTGACGTGCTGTATATAGCCAAGTGATATAAAAGCATAACTTAATCCCTTGGAGTGCCCCTCCATGCAGCAATAAAAAGCAGAGTGTTCACTTTTAAATGTTGAATTTTAAGTACAAAGCATCTCACACGACCACTTGATCTTCAAGCACTAACCTGCTTTCAGCAGCAGCTTGACAATCTCAAAGTTGGAATGGGAGACGCTGTAGTGAAGTGCTGTGTTTCCATTGCCATCAGCCATGTTGATAATATAGCGCAGGACAGAGGGTGAAAGCTCGGTAAATGCAGCAATGTAATCCTCCACCATGGCAGGAATAGCAGATTTCTGACTTGATACCCTGAACCATTCATTTTGTATAGTGTTCAAGCACAGCCTCTGTCAAGACAAAGCATTAGTTAATATACAGTGTTAATGTGAATATTATTTCAAATAAACCAGTGGTTTCTATTAGGAAAGCAATATTCTTGGTGTTTATGGAACAACCCACAGTGTGAAACTCCCACCAACTTTGAACAATGTGCACCCAAGTCTTTAGTTCACACTAGAACATGGTGCGGGAAACCTGCACTCCGTGTGCATTTGCGGCTCCTCATTCAAAACACACTGCACCTGTGATCTGCAGTGGGTATCAGTGTTAATGCAACCACACCCCAAACGCATGTTGCAAGCACAGTGCATTTGCCTATGCTGCATCCACCAGCACTGTGCAGTTTTTAAAGTAGTGCATGCACTACTTTTGGTGCAGTCTGGCACAATTTCAGCCCATTCAAATGAATAGTCTGAAATCGCACCACACCTGGATTGTATGTGAATCGCACAGGAACGTACAGCTATATACAATACTAATAGAGAATACAATCCAAACATACAGAATCAAAAGAATACAGAAATTGTTTGGCAAGTGCTCATCAAAAGCAGAACAATGTTTAGATCAAAGTTTTAAGTTAAAGTGGAATTCCAGTCAAATTCTAACTAGGCCTAAATCTATTCGCACCCCCATTCTAAGTCTATTCTATCTACCCTGCATTGCAGAAAAGGAAAAACTATAGTTAATGGTATTAATACACATCACTCCTAGCAAAGTCTTCCAAAACCCCTGAGTGAAGGTCTCATTTAACTGGAACATAAGGCTAGTTATCAAGTACAAATTGTGGGGTAGGCAGCTAAAATGTGGGGTGACTGGTGTCAGATCATTTATTCTTTTTAAAATTGGTTAAGTTAAATATCATTTATAAAGTTCTCAAAAGAGAGGTTTCTAAAACCCAGTTTAATAAATGTTCATTCTTTTCAGCATTTCAGTGTATTGAATACATTAGTCTTATTAAAAATAAAATGGGTCAGTCCGCTGAAGCAGAAGCGCTTCTAGAGATTATGTACTTACCACATCCTTATTTGCCAAAGCTCGCGGGTCATCAACTGCATCTTTCAGCACATTGCAAGCAGATAACATCTTTTCACTTAACTCATACCTGTACACACATAAAAAGTCGGTATAAGCCAATGTTTCACCACTCTCTACACACTGTGCAAAGAAAATTAATTGTTTTAAATAAAGTTTTTAGTATGATTATGTTCACTACAACAAAACAAAAAAGTAGATACAATAAGAACACAATTAAGTAATCCACAGACAAAGCTAATTCATAACACCAACATAACGTGTTAACAGTATAAACAGGATACTAGAAAAAGCTTCTTTCGGTAGGTGTAAACGTCCATTTTTGAAAAGTATCACCAAAGTGCTATGGTAAATTTTTTTTTTTTTTTTTTTGACTATGATGGCAAAAGTCCAAAACTTAAGAAATGACTGGTAAATTCTATTGCAATGGAACTGTTAAGAGGCCAACATCCATTTTTCCTAATACAAGGCTACCGTTATTTCCTGTTTAAATACACCATTAATATCGAACCACTTTTACTGCATTCAACTGAGGTGCAAGAACTGAGTACCAGATGGTCATATTTGACATCATGGGCATGCTACTGCTGAGCACCCACTACTTTTTTTTGTTTTTGTTTTGGTGCTACAAATATAGACTATTTTAATTGAAATATTTTAATGAAGGCTCAGACAAAGTTCTAATTCTCTACGTATTTCAGTTAGCACAAAACTATATGTAATGGAAGTGTTTGAAATAATTGCACTGAGGTTTATACAAGTCTGTTAGATTCTCACTTGTAGCAAAGCATTAAAACATATTTTCTAAGTACAAGGAGGCTTGGGTTTTACTTAAAGTGCATGTAAAACCTCTATTTGTAAAGAATAAAACAACAAATACAGGTGAAACTCGAAAAATTTGAATATCCTGCAAAAGTTCATTTATTTCAGTAATGCAACTTAAAAGGTGAAACCAATATATTAGATAGACTCATTACATGCAAAGCAAGATAGTTCAAGCCGTGATTTGTCATAATTGTGATGATTATGGCTTACAGCTCATGAAAACCCCAAATCCACAATCTCAGAAAATTAGATTACATGCAATCAATAAAACAAGGATTGTACATGGAACAATATTGGATCTCTGAAAAGTATAGGCATGCATATGTACTCAGTACTTGGTTTGGGCCCCTTTTGCAGCAATTACTGCCTCAATGCAGCGTGGCATGGAAGCTATCAGCCTGTGGCACTGCTGAGGTGTTATTGAAGACCAGGATGCTTCAATAGCGGCCTTCAGCTCTTCTGCATTGTTTGGTCTCATGTCTCTCAACTTTCTCTTGGCAATGCCCCATAGATTCTCTATGGGGTTCCGGTCAGGCGAGTTTGCTGGCCAATCAAGCACAGTAATCCCACGGTCTTTGAACCAGGTTTTGGTGCTTTTGGCAGTGTGGGCAGGTGCCAAGTCCTGCTGGAAAATGAAGTCAGCATCCCCATAAAGCTCATCTGCGGAAGGAAGTATAAGTGCTCCAAAAATCTCCTGGTAGAGGGCTTCGTTGACCCTGGACTTAATGAAGCACAGTGGACCAACACCAGCAGATGACATGGCTCCCCAAATCAACACAGAATGTGGAAACCTCACACTGGACTTCAAGCATCTTGCAGTGTGTGCCTCTCCATTCTTCCTCCATACTCTGGGTCCTTGGTTTCCAAATGAGATGCAAAAGTTGCTCTCATCAGAGAAGAGGACTTTGGGCCACTGAGCAACAGACCAGGTCTGTTTTTCTTTAGCCCAGGTAAGACGCTTCTGACGTTGTTTGTTGTTCAGTAGCGGCTTGACAAGAGGAATACGACATTTGAAGCCCATGTCCAGGATCCGTCTGTGTGTGGTGGCTCTTGATGCACTGACTCTAGCCTCAGTCCACTCCTTGTGAAAGTCCCCAACACTTTTGAATGGTCTTTTCCTGACAATCCTCTCCAGGCTGCGGTCATCCCTGCTGCTTGTGCACCTTTTTCTTCCACACTTTTCCCTTCCACATAACTTTCTATTAATGTGCTTTGATACAGCACTTTGGGAACATCCAACTTCTTTTGCAATTACCTTTTGAGGCTTTCCCTCCTTATGGAGGGTGTCAATGATGGTTTTCTGCACAACTGTCAGGTCAGCAGTCTTTCCCATGATTGTGATTTCTACTGAACCAGACTGAGAGACCATTTAAAGGCTCAAGAACCCTTTGCAGGTATTATGGCTTAATTAGCTGATTAGAGTGGGACACACTTTGCACCTTTTCACAATATTCTAATTTTTTGAGATTGTGGATTTGGTGTTTTCATGAGCTGTAAGCCATATTCATCACAATTATACAAATCACGGCTTGAACTATCTTGCTTTGCATGTAATGAGTCTATCTCATATATTAGTTTCACCTTTTAAGTTGCATTACTGAAATAAATTAACTTTTGCACGATATTCTAATTTTGTGAGTTTCACCTGTATGTTATACTTACCTGCTCTGTGCAATGGTTTTGTACAGAGCAGCCCCAAACCTCCTCTTTTGGGGTTCCCCATCATGCTATGGGGAAGCACCTGTGTTCTTGCTCCCAAGCCACCCTGCCTGCGTCTATTGACAAAGACAGGAGACTCTGTCCTGCCTATTGATCCTTTCTCAAACCATTTCCTAAGTGGCTCCTGCTGCTGCTGAGTCTCTGTGAGAAGACAAAGAGAAGGGGGAGAAGACTGCAGCAGGGCACAGCGCTGTATCCCTGATAGGCTCAGGTAAGTGTTTGGGGAGGGAAGGGAGGGGGGGAGAATTATTAAGTTGTTTTTTAACTTAATGCAGGGAATGCATTAAGGTAAAAAACAGGCAGCCTTTAGAACCACAAACTGTGCCACTTTAAGCCATCCTACCATTAACACAATTGGCCACACACACTCTTTGCATTAAAACTCTTCTTAAATTGCTCAAGGGTTCCTTGGACTTTTGCCATCCTGGCAATGCCGCTGGTTCAACATACATCCAGTCATCCTGAGTTTAGGTAAAACAGGCGGCCATATTGCAGAGAAGGCTAAGTAGCAGGTATGTTTATCTACTATTAGTGCACCAAGCTCTATTGCTCCAGTGCCAAGTCTAAAATAAAGAGAAGTTGTTACAGGCCTCACTACTTAGCAGTAATTCAGGAAAGCAATGCACCTTTCTCTAATCTCCACTTTCTCGGTTTCTTTCTCATCTTTCTCAGCATTACTCAGTGGTTCAGAGACTCCTACATCCCCACTTCCGACTTCTTTATGTATCACTTCAGACTCCTCATTAAAGCTTTCCTCCCCTTCACATTCGTCGTCTGATTCTGTGGAGGAACTTTCATCTGAGCTGGATTCATCACTGGATGTAGTTTCATACCTGAAATAAGATAAACTGTCAGTTTTGGTTTACATCACATTGAGATATTACTCGAAAAGTAGCAGTGACATCATCAGTGTACATAGTATGTGCAGAGAGCAGGCTGCCTGCAGAAAACTACAGGAGGGGCAGAGCCCAGTGAATGGTCTGTATTACAGGAAGCTTCTCCACAGAACAAAGTTTCACATTAAATTGCTGTACAGATCCAGACGAACTACACCAAGTGCACCACAATTCTAGTTAAGAATATGTACTCCTGTATTTAGACAATATTTTCTTATCCGGGAGTTCAGCTTTAATTTCTGTTCTATAGCCATCTGTTTTTTGTCTAATCACTTTGTAAAAAATCTCCTTGTTATCGGATACTAATGCACATCATACCGCCTTCTTTTCTAGTAATAGATCTGAAACTGTCATTGTGTGTTTGTGACCACAGTTTCTGCAATCAGGGGAAAATAAAACTAACTGCTGTGAAAAGATCTGAGACAGATGTGGACAAATTTTCATTTAACACTCCATATACAATTAGGAAGAGGCCAGGCACATGATTTTTACTGCTGTAGTACTACTTTTAAGCAGCGTAGGGGGGTGTGATTATATAGTAAGATCATCTCAGTCTGTCTCTGTGCTCCTGTTTTGCAAGATCTTGTTTAGGGATGTCCTTGATGTTCGAATCGAACAGAAGTTCACTCACCACACCCCTCCATACACTGGGCTCTGCACTCCACTCTGATTGAGTGGAGCTAGCAGTGATGACACCACTAGCGCTGCCCAATTGTTTACATCTGACCAGCAAATGTCAGATAGCAGCAAGCGCTCGATGGGTGCAGATGGGTCTGCAGGCGTTGCGTTTTTTGTTTTTTTTTTTAATTTCGGCAACTCGGCATCATCATGACAACTCTGGATGCTGTGATTGACAATGAATTACATCGATAGAACCATTTTTTTTTAAAGGACTGTTGTATTTTTATTCACATAGTACAATTTTTTGGTGAATGGATAGGGGATCAAGGGTCTGGTAGGAATTTAGGGGGGACCCCCAAGCCATTTTTTTTTTAAAATTGTTAATTACCAGCAATTTATTTTACAATTCCCGCTGACAGTTGAAACATTAATGCATGTTTTAGCTACTAAATGACCACATGACTTAATAAAATAACTTTTCCAGTATTTTACTAGTGTTTTTTTAGTGAATGCCAATGTTTTTTTCGGAAAAATGCTGTATATTATCTTACCGCACACTCGGATGCAGTAAGATACCGCATAATGAATTTTCCTCTGGGCTGAAGTTCGCAGTCAAACTTTCATTAGTTTTGAATGTTTGAGCGCGAACAGAACAGGGGGGTGTTCAGCCCTTCATTAATCTTGTGCAACAAAACTGATCAATCTCTCCGCTAACACTTTCATAATAAGTGGTTAGGATTATAAATATACCAACGGTGTTCTTAGCTATAATGTATTGTACACTTTGTAATAAACTGATTGCATACAGATATTTATTTATTTATTACAGGTACTTATATAGCGCCATCAATTTACACAGCACTTTACATATATATTGTACATTCACATCAGTCCCTAACCCTCAAGGGGCGTACAATCTAATGTCCCTAACTCACATTCATACATACGCATACTAGGGACAATTTAGACAGGATTCAATTAACCTACCAGCATGTCTTTGGAGTGTGGAAGGAAACCAGAGTACCCGGAGGAAACCAACACAGACACAGGGAGAACATGCAAACTCCAGGCAGGTGGTGCCGTGGCTGGGATTCGAACCAACGACCCTAGTACTGCCAGGTGGAAGTGCTAACCATTTAGCCACTGTGCAGATAGAACTGTTATATATAAAGCATTGCTGGTCAGCACATATTCCAGGAAGAGACACACAAATCACATCATGAAGTACTTATTTATATCCTGTACTTACTGCAGTAACTAATGAATTTTCCTGGAGATTAAGAGTCCCTGTAGGGACAGGTGTCTTAGTTATGTGATCTTATGAGCTGAACACAAGCTTTAAAGGTATTGTTTTCCAATACACATGAGACCGAAGCCTATTTTTGAACAGCTTTGCATATCCCTTGGCTCACACAACATCCTCTAAACTGGCCAAGCAGGTGACAAGCAGAGACAGGTTGTAAGTGTTTTTATTTTTTATAGAGGCTTACCCGCCATTAATGCCAACAAACTGAAGATTTTTCTTGGTATTTGAAGACTCGCTCTTCTCATTCTTTCTTTTCATGATAGACTTAAGAGTATTCTGACTGCTGCCACTCACTGTTTAAAAAAATGGAATTAACGTCATAATTCGCAACTATGCAGTGCTGATTGAATTGCTTATGTTAGACATTTTTTGGTTTAAAGTATAACTGTAGGAAAAATGTTTTTTTTTTCCATTTTGGATAGAGTAAGGGAGGGTTATAACCCCTGTTAAGGTTCATTTTTGCCATCTTTATCCCATTGGGAACATTTACCTTCATTTCCTGCTCCATAGCCAAACAAGAAGTGAGAGGAAATCCCTGCAAATTGAGGGAATCTCTTGGGACCCCCAAAACTAGTGTCCCCATTGGAAGATTTCCCCTCTATTACTTTTCTGGGGACAACCCAAAATTTGGGATTTTCTTTTACTTTCAATGATAATGGTAAACAGGACAAATAGAGAGGGTTATTCTTTGTAACAAGGATACAGACGAGTGTCCTAATCCCTCTCTCCCCTCTGCCCAAAGCTAAAAAAAAAGGGTTGCCTATCGTTAAACTTTAAAGTGTTACTAAACCCAGGACCCTGCATTCACTATATCTGGTCTCCCACAGTACACGGAACATGGAAGTGCAATTATTTTAGTAAATATAAACTGCTAAATACCTTTTCTCATCAGCAGTTAGAGCAGTCTTGTGACTTCTATCAGTGTCCAGCAGAGCACTGGTTAAAGTGTTACTAAACCCCGGACCCTGCATTCACTATATCTGGTCTCCCACAGTACACACAACATGGAAATGCAATTATTTTAGTAAATATAAACTGCTAAATACCTTTTCTCATGAGCAGTTAGAGCAGTCTTGTGACGTCTATCAGTGTTCAGCAGAGCACTGGTTACAGCTTGTAGGAGGAGCTTTCTTTCTGCTCTAGGAGGATGCAAAACTCCTGACCTCTGTCTGGACCGTGCTGATTGGCCCTGTGCTGATCACATGCACTCTGTCTCAAAAAAAAAACCCTCTCTAGCAATACACACTAAACTGAGCATGTGCAGAAGGGCTATGCTGTCTTATCAGAGTGGACATTTGAACAAGAGGAAAGGCAGAGAAGTCAGGATCAAACAGCCTTTTTACGCAATGTGGAGGATTAACCTCTTAGGTTCCACAGTGAGTATAACAAGCATGCTTTACTGCATATACAGTCTGATTTTACTGTTGAGGGTTTAGTAACACTTAAAAGCTTATAGGATTTTTCATTCTCCCCTGATTATCCTATGAGGCTGCAGGACCCCTGACCCTCTGTCTGGACAGTGCTGATTGGCCCTGTGCTGATCACATGCACCCTCCTGAGAAAGAAAACCGCTCTAGCATTATACCCCAAACTGAGCATGTGCAGCTTGCCCCCAAGGCTCTGTTCTATCAGCAGATAGACTGAGGACAGTAGGAGGCGAGGATCAGAGTAGATGGGATCAAACATCCTTTTTATACAATGTGGATGATTAACCCCTTAGGTTCCACAAGTATAACAAGCATGCTTTACTGCATGTACAGTCTGATTTTACTGTTGTGGGTTTAGTAACACTTTAAACTCAGAGAAAGAAATGCTTGAAAGAATTATAAAACCTACTTACCAAAAGCCGAAGAAGCAGAGATTTCACTGGATAACTCTGTTGTAGTCACAGAGCTGACTGTAATAGTGGACTCAGTACTGCACTCAGTTGTTTGAATATTCAGCCTTTCCAGTTTTGAAACTCCTGCTCGTTTTTGAAGGCCAACAGTCCGAGCACTGGAAGCGGCATACTCAGTGGTTACCTGGGCCTGGGATACAACATCCACATTTGTCCCTGCCAAAAAAAAAAGTCACATTATTACACATGGATCACAATGTATCAAGTGATCAAACCAGATCTCAGCATACTGCAAATCCTGCCCATGTACCCCAAAATTCATATAGCGAGTTTGCTGACTGCCCTTTGTACATGCATCATTCTGGTCCTTTTAGGTTCTCATCTAAACATACAAAATACATAAATAAATCTACACATACAAAAAAACTTTATACAAGCATATATCATTGCTTTCGGCTGTCTAGGTTTTCCCCCTAAAAGTATATCTAAAACCAAATGTTTTGTTAATTCTTGAACGGAGATGGGTGACCACTATTAGCTCCTTTTTGCCATGGTGGCCATGAATACTGGCACAGAAAGTAATAACAGATCAGAAATCTGAATAAGGATGGTCACTGGAACAACAATTTACATGGATTTTCTCATTTCCATTCATTTCTTTCTCCAGCACAGAAAGTGAAGAAAATGGTTTTAACCATTCCCTGCTCTATCCAAGCTATGACCCTAGATATACCGTACAATAAAGACAATGTAAAGCCTTATTTTTTATAAATGCCAAACATGTCTATACTTACCTGCTCTGTGCAATGGTTTTGCACAGAGCAACCCTGAACCTCCTCTTCTTGGGTCCTCCACCGGCACTCCTGGTTCCCCCTCTTCTTGGTGTGGCACACCTGCGTGCTCGATGCCGATGCCTTTGTGTGTGTTTATAGGCACACAGAACGTGGCTTGGACCAGCCCTCTGCTCCCTCCTCAATGGCTGTGATTGACAGCAGTGGGAGCCAATAGCTCCTGCTACTGTGTCTCAGCCAACAAGGAGGGGGTAGAGGAAAAAAAGCATTGGCTCTCCTGAACATCGCTGGATTGAAATTGGGCTCAAGTGAGTACTGGGGGGGGGGGGGGGGGGGCACTAGCTCCATGCAGAAGGTTTTATGCCTTAATGCATTCTAAAAAACCTTCTGCCTTTACAACCACTTTAACAGTCAAGATAAGACTCATGGTTTATCATTTGTGGGGGGAAAAGTGGAAGCTTGGGATGAAACATTTTTAGGGCAATTTAGTGTCTTCCTTGACATAAGTGCCTGAGCGTCATGAAAAATGGCCCCTTGAACCTCCTTTGGACAAGTCTTGACTGGTGGAAGCATGGCATCACTGTGGGCGTGAACCTAAAATCCTCCATTTAGGATTGGCTACATAAAGCTGATGTGACTGGGTGGAGCATGAACTCTAGGAAAAGGCTACCATGGGACTGAACTCCTTTGGAAATGGCAAGCTCATCTATCACTGGCTTATTACTTTCTGAGTGACTTATCTGGAAAAAAGCATGCAGCAAGAAAAGTCAGAGTTAAATCAGAACACCTAATCTGTATATTCTAACCCAGGAAATACAGAAGCCACTCAATCAACATAACAGCTAGTCAATCAGCATTTCAGACAAACAGGTCAGCAGTGACTTGAGAAAGGGGGACATGCCCCTGAGACATTTGGACATGGCCACCTGATGGTAGGAGCGAGCTGCATGAACCCAGTAACAGCAGGTTCTGACAAGCACCTGAGTCCAGTGTAGAGCTGAACTGTCTGCTTTCCTTCAACCTGTCAATCTGCAGTGAGATTCAAACATCATTCTGAGCAAGCACTGGACATCAGTGGCCATAGTGTGAGTGGTTCCACTACAAAAGGTTCATAATTGTGCAGTTTTCTACCGCAATATCAAGGTATTCAGGCAGCAGGATTAGAATATTTAAATAGATAGAATTGTGCTCTACAGATAAAATGCCCCATCCCTCAAACAGAAGAAAACATTCAGACCCTTTAACATTATCATTCTTAATTCCAAGTATATGAGGATGCCAATCCTGTGTAAAACAGGTCAAACGCAGATCAACCGCAGGAAACAATTATTTCTGAATAATCTCAGAAGCGTCTCGAACTGATGCCATCAACAAAAGCCCAACGCCCATGGACACATGCCTCCTTTACTAGGTATTATACTGGTTCTGATGTCACATGGTGTCTGGCTGCTGCCTGTGAACCTTCCAACACCTGAAGCTGTATTGGGGGGGGGTGCCTGCACATTATCAGTGACGGCGGGTACTTCCATTGCCATGCACAGACAGAGAAAACTCAACTTGTTCCCTGTTGTCACTCACAGAGCACTGGAGGCTTTACAGGCAGCAGGCAGACAGCCTGGTGGATCAGCAGAGGGAAGGAGGGAGCAGTCCTGGTTGTCCTAATGTGTCAGAGTGTAAAGGAAACAATAACTGCTCTTACAGACAAATCAATCATTTCTACACGAGGGCAACATCAGTAACCATTCATGTTAGCAGCCTGAAAATGTGATTCCTGTTGATAGTTTCCCTTTAAAGCATCAGACAAACAGTAGACTACACTGCTGAAACCCATATATATGAGAGCGCTTTTAACTGACATGGATTTGATTTCTGTCCATTTAGCTCAAGATTTACACAACCCTCTACACAGCACAGCCAGGTTGGTGACCCTGACTTTTCTCTACTCCTCTGCTAAACATAGCCTGGGATTGGACAATGAAAGAGCAGCAGTAAAGAGGTCAACTCTCTGCTCTCTCTCCTCCTGTTAGCATCTTCCCTGTAAGTGCATGGAATAGGACCTGACTAGCTCCAAGTGCTCCTATACTGAAGGATGATACCAGGTAACTTTAGGTACTCATACTGCTTGCATTTTTAATACGTCATGATTTTGCAATGATTATATAAACCTAATTGGGGTTTTATTATTTCTGCCTATAGTTCAGTTTAAAGCAGACCTTGTAATTCAAGTTCTGTTTATTCAATGTGGCCTAGTTACATAACATACTCACCTTTGCTTGGCTGATGTAACATCATCCTACCACTAACAAGATTCTGGTAATGCTGAGTAGCCCGAATCTTGAGGGAGTACAATGTAGATCACCTTCTTTTGAGGTCTGGACTACTTAAAGTAAAACTGCACTTCATCTGAGCACCACAAACCAATGATGCCATTTAATTCATTTTTATTATGCAAAACAAACTCCTAGCATGGCCATGTTGAGTAAGGGCAGATTCATGTATTATTTACTTCCTGGAAGCCATCCGTCCTTAGCCCAGGCATAGGCTGAGCTAAGAACCCTCTCTCCCTTCCTGAAGACTGCTGGGATGTATGACATCACTTGTCTAGGCATGGAAACCAGGAAGTAACTGTAAAAATTTTAAAAACAAGTAGATAGGATATACTTTCCTGTCCCCTATTCTTATACCCTTCCTGAGAAAGTGAAGTTCACTTTAATATTTTCAAGTATCCCTCTGGTTTGAGGAGGACATCACCCTTGCCTAAGAACCTCAGATATTTTGCACTTTCATGCAAAGTTTTAGTGAGGGGTACCTACTACTCAAGTGCATGGTCTGCTTTAAAGCTGAACCCTGGGATAAGCAAATTTTGTTTGAATACAAGAGCCATGTGTATTCTTACTTGAATCTAGATGTGCTTTGTGTATTTATTCCAGATCAAACTTTGTCTCTATGCAGGAGCTTCCTGTAATAAAGACTGGTCACTGATGCTCACTTTCCTTGTGAAGGGTGGCTGGTCTTATCTCCACCCCCTTCTGTAGTTTTTTACATGCAGTCTGTAGTGGGTGGAGCCTGCCAGGTCCCTCCCACAGCTCTGCTCTTTGCACAAGTTATGTGCAACACTGTCATTTATTATTATAATTTCAGGTACTTATATAGCACCATTCATTTACGCAGCACTTTACATATATGTTGTACATTCACATCAGTCCCTAACCCTCAAGGAGCGTACAATCTAAGGTCCCTTACTCACATTCATACACATACTAGGGACGATTTAGACAGGAGCCAATTAACCTACCAGTGTGTCTTTGGAGTGTGGGAGGAAACCTGTGCAGGCACAGGGAGAACATGCAAACTCCAGGCAGGTGGTGCTGTGGTTGGGATTCAAACCAATGACCCTAGTACTGCCAGATGGAAGTGCTAACCATTTAGCCATTGTGCTGCCCAATAATGATGTCACTGCTACTTTTATAAGGCAACAACTAAGTTGAAAAAGGCATTTGATGTACACCAAGTAGACTTGTATCCCTTGTTGCTTTTGGGGAATATACTGAAAGTTTTTGTGTCTGGAGTTCAGCTTCAAGCTCCGGAATAAGGAGCCACTGCCTCTAAATCAAAAGGTGAAGTAGATACCCATTAGCAGACATAGCAGGAATGCTCTGAAATCTAATTGGTAGCTATGGGTTACTGCACTGTGCCCCTGATCTCTGCTCCTTCCAATGCCTTGCTGACTGTGCTAGCTAGCTATTAGCTGGAATAATGGGGGCTGCTCTTAGGACATTCCACCAGCAGGATGCCGTGGTTGTGCAGGTGCCTTGCAGTCTGCCGTGGGAGTTTATTTCCTGTTTTCTGGGTTCTGATGGAAGGGAACAGTAAGAGTGCTGTGTAATGGTTATGAATGCAAGTCATAAGTCAGACCTGAGAAAGCACAAAAGGAAATTGCAATAACATCGCATTGCCTTAAAGAAGACTGTCATGATGCCTCAGTAAGAACAGATCTCTACAGACAGATTTAAAGGGTCAGCCATCCCCCTGACCTATATATGCTGGGAAGTCTGATTGCAACAAAATCCTTATAGTATGTGTTAGCTCTGCTCCTCATCTGTTATCTCTGTAAAATAAAGAAGAGAATCAACACGCAGCATAAGAGCACTTCACAAATGTATAGCAGATTTCTAGACTAGAGTCCCTGAAAGATAGAAGCAGCAGGTGGTCGATCCAATCTGCTGACACCTACCTAAATCTAAAGTACCTGATTGTGTGACCTGACCCTTTTATATATGCAGTCATGGTACCTGCTGTACAAGCAGATATTCTACATAATTAAAAATGATGACCATCTCATTACTGTAGCATTCCTTTTCCCACAAAAGGAAATTAAACTGCGGTGACCCGGGGCAGTGAAGTCTGCCAAAGTGAGATTGCCTA